GAAAGCCTCCAAACGAAATCTTTGAAGGGCTCTTAATGATATTTTTGAGGTTATGGTGGGAAAAGATGTCCAGAAATAGCGGTTTAAATTCGATTCTTTCAGAAATATCAAATGGATTCTTAAGAGATTCATTATATTTTGGGAATTAGTGTGGAAAACAGACTACAAATTTCATATTCTAGAAGTGTCAGGGGAAATTTGGAAGTGTTTATGACATATTATCTTCCCCTTGTGTTTTCCCGCGCCTTTTCGCCGAAGGATGGAAAGAGCTTTTCTGTGGCACGTTTCCTGGAACTGAGAGAGTCTGTCGCGAACCGCATGTCAGCATCACTGCTCGTCGTCACGACAGTGTCTGAGAGGAAATTGAGAAGATAATCGCTCACTCTCTTTCGCATTATTCGGACGAGTTGCTTCTTATTCTTGCCTTGCGTGCACAATTTGTGCTTCGCGTTTTCCCGCGCAATTTCTTGCCCACTTTCCCGAGTTTCTCCTCCTCTGGGGAGACACAATCTTTGGGGCAGTCTCACGGGACATCGATAGCAAAGTGTTCCTCAATAAATTCGGATTATCTGCCACTCAAGGCACGAGACACTCTCGATCACGTAATTCATCACTGCTGGTCGATTTGGATTAACACCTTTTAATTACAGAACTGATAAGACGCACGCTCAAGTCAAAGAGATTCTCTGGCCAAGAGTGAATTTCCCCCAAAATTCACAACTAAGAGTGACACTTTTTCAATGGGTTTTTCATTGTAGCAAATGAGTTGTGAAATATTTCACAAAAGTCATTCTCTGCCGATGGATTTCCCAAGATTTCCTCCCTAAAAATATCTCTGTTTGCCGTAAAACTTCTCGACAATTTATTTAGACTAGACGCACGTGCTCGTGAGTTATGTATTGTATGTTAACCCTCTCAGGATTATGAGGTAATTTGGTCCAAGAGGAAGATATTATGGTCAAAAGCGGTAAAATATTTGCACTACCAAAGATTCTTGTTCCAACAAATTTAAGAAGTTTTCAAGTTATTTTGCTCAAGAAAATCGCTTTTATTGCTTAAAAACTGCCTAAAAGTCAACCATAACCTCAAAAATGTCTCAAAGAATTCTTTTTGCTTATTTATTTCCGCGGTTTTTGCTTAAAAGTGGCAAATTCAGTTTCATTATCTCTTAGAAACAGGGAAATATTCGTTTTATTTACTTATTTCAGGGTTTTAAAGGATCCAAATTGGTTTAAGAAGGATTTTTTACACCGTATTCATAACCTCACAATTTGGTTAGAATTTTTCTAATCATTTTTCGAAGGTAAAACTAGAAAATCAAGGCAGAAATTGTTCATAAACAAATCTTAAACATTAAGATCATTTCTTACAATCTTAAATCTAAGTATTTCAAGAATTTAAGCTTCTTGAAACGGAAAATCTTGGATTAGATTGTGAGAAACCGTCAAAAGGAGTCTAAAAAGCGATGGAAAATGCATTTAAAGGCGTTCAGAAGTGTCTGAAGTGTTGAAGATTCTGAACAGAGGCTAAGAAAGTGTGAGAAAATGAGTGTGATTTGGCCTTCTGGACCTGAGAAAGAGGGATGTGAATCCTTTGGTAATCTGAGAGACAGAAATCAGTCCTTAGAAGCCTGCAAAGCAATCAGTTCACTCACTATTTTTCTCTCACACGAAGTGCTAAAGAGGTAAATTCCACAAATACCATCAGATCTCGCGCTATTCCTTCCTCCTCGAGACATCACATGAGTCTGCAAAGTGTTTCACATCCGCTAAAGGTCATTCTGATCTCAATCTCGTGCCTCATTTTCACTCTGTTGACTCTCTGGGAAGCCCATTTGGGGGAGAGCCATTGAAAATATTGATAAATATTGTCGATAAATATAGCCAAGAGGCATTCATCTGGCCGTTGGGATTCTGAGGTATTTTTAGGTGTCTCATTTCCTCCTCATTTTCCCTCAATTAACACCCACCTTAGGAGTGCGATTTTGGGTGAAATGGAGTGAGAATTATTCTGTGAATGGACGCGAGAAGTGACATTTTTCAACTTGTTTTTATTACACATTTTCTGGCCAACACACGTGCTGTTCTTGTCCAACAAGAAATTCCCTCTCATTGACTTTCGAAATTGAACGTAAGACGATAAAAAAAATTCAGCAAAATATTCGATAAAATTGCATAAATACAATCGGAAGTGAAACACCATCACAAAAGCAAAACATTTCCACACACGAATGCACACACTGAGAACTGAAAATTGCCTTGTAATTTGCAAAAATGATTAAATGTCACTCACCTGAGTGGATTTTTCTTCTCACAACTGTATTTTCCTCATGCATTCAGGCTGGATGGACACAAGTATGCGATGATATTCCCCGATAATTGCCAACTGAGTGACTAATAAAAATGAAATTCCACCCAAACAAATTCAATGAAGTGAATTTACTTAATCTATTGGGGAATTAAAGAAAGAAAGAGAGAGAGGAAAAAAAGGAGTCACGTCACTTATCAAATATTTGAAAAGTCTCTCTCTATATTTCTCAATACACTCTCGCGGTCAGGTGTATGTTTTTTCTGCTGAGGCAGAGATAAAGGTAAATATTTCACAGGAAATCTCACTTTGATGTCTCTCACTCGTGCGAGGGCGCAAAAGCTCCCGGAGAAGAGGGAGTCCAGGGGAGAAACTTGTGGCGTTGCAGCACGCACTGCACTTCTCGGTGCCTCTAAGCAAACTGCCCGACTTCCACTGGATTGGACTTCATTGGATGCCGCCGTATTATTTTTATTTACGGGGCGCGCGCGGCTCGAGAGAGACAATACGCTGCGAAGCACTTGTATGAGTGATCTTTTTTCCACTATTTACTTGTAGGCTTTTCACCGATCTATCCAGCGACCCAATAATTCACATCATATTGCAATGAGACACTCTCTTGCGCGCTCGCACAGACATTCGCAACTTTTGCGGGAATATATTTGTGATGAATTTCCTCCGTCGTCGTCTGATTGACTTTAGGCGGTCGAATGCATTTCACACACTGCACACAGTATATCTTGGGCGATAACAGAAAGACTTTTGCACTTATCGATTGAAAGCACGCGCTTGTGAATCAATTGATTCCTTGTGGAATAATTAATGGGTGAAAAATTGTCTCTTACACTCGCCACACCAATGGCACGATCGCCCAGCCGGAGTTGTGTGATCTGGTGTGAAGAAAGGTTTCCCGCGCCGTGCCTGCGATGGAACTGAGAAGAGAGTTCAGTCTTTATGCTGCGGAAAAGACAAAAACCGACCCTCGAGAGAGAGAGGCGAGAGAGCTGAGCCGCTCCAGGTAGAGCCGCATTCGCATAAACCTGTCGATAAATGCCCATCCCAGCCGACGAGGAAGTGCCGTCAATTCAACTTCACGCGCCATCGCCACAAATCGTCACCCCGCCGAGGGGCTGAATCTCTTAACATTAAGAGACTGTCTCTTGCACCACCTGTTGACGTATCGACGATTTATCGCATCTGACATTTTGCCCCTTTTTTTTAATTACTTCAAGGCGAAATACAATTAATTTCAATGCCAAACAGAAGGAGAGAGAATTGCAGGTAATCAATAAAGTGATAGAAAACAAGGGGAAGACAATACACGACTAAATAGTGTACGCCACGTCGTGTCATGCGTTTTAAAAGTGACATAACCTCAAATTTATGTGTATTTGACTCAAAAAAGACGCAATTTTTACTTTTATCACCCTGAAAACTTTCAGAGAAACAGTTTTTGAGAAATATTTGAAGTTTCCAGTAGATATTTAGAACCATAACCTATAAATTACCTTGAAATATCTCAAATAATCCTTGAAAGAAATTTATTCAGAACATTTTAAAGGCAAAGCTTATCGAGAAGAAGCTGAAATTTGCTATTTTACAGTAGAAAATCAAGTAAACTGTTCTTGAAATAGACCATTTTAGAGGTTATGATCAATCTTAGCACAAATTACACAGTTTAGAATTGAAAACTTGTGATCTTTTATCAGATTTCACTATTATTGCGCCAGTAAATGTGAATGAATGATTTTGTAGGTTATTTATGGTGAAAACACAGCATTTGTAATTTGTAATTTGTCCGCGATCATCTCTTTCTTCCCCTCGCGTTTCGTGTATTTTCCTTCCTACTTTGTCAGCGTCTGACTCTGACATGTCGAGACAGCCACTGTGCGAGTAGGAAGGAAAATACACGAAACGCGAGGGGAAGAAAGAGATGATCGCGGACAAATTACAAATTACAAATGCTGTGTTTTCACCATTAGCAACAAAATTCGTCTGAAATCCATAACATAACCTAGAAAAATGTAAAGAACGCTTCTTAAACGCGTCATATTGATGATATTGAAACACTTTCACTTCCAAAAAATACTTCCACTGAATTGTACACCAACTTTTAACTATATTATAGCTTCTTAACAGACTGTCTTGTGTGCAAAATTGTCCAATATTTGCAAAAGGAAGTTAATAAAGTATTCATATCAACACTTTGCTTATCTGCATTGCTTCAAAGTTGAGTCACGAGATGCAAATTGAAAGAATGTACTTGATTAGAAGAAAAGCCCGAAACGCCGATAGCGAGTTGCTGATAACGCCAAACGAACAGCCAATAAGTGCTCAAGTGGATTTTCCCCTTCTAAGTTAAGAGGAGCGTCTTGGCGAATCTCGCAATCAGTGTCGGCTGTGAGTGCACGGCCTAGAGTGGCATCGATCGAGTCAGTCGGGTGTCGCCCATTGACCGTGCACTTAATCGAGGGCTTCTTCTGTGCGCGCCAGCAGAATGAGAGCATCGCTGAGAAGAATGTGACGGACAAAAGGTCGCTCTCTCTCTCGCCTGAGTCCTCTTCTCTCTCTCTGCCTCCGGGCAACAATAAGATTATGTGCGGGGTGTCCCGAGAAGACGACGACGGGGAAGGAGAAACATGAGCCGGAATTTACTGTTGATCTCAACATTTCCCTTCACACTTCACAATGGCTTAGTATAGTAAATCTTGTCAGTTTTTATTTGTGTTGCTTGGGTGAGTGTGTTTGGAAAAATACACCGACAAATACCATTAGTACGTATAAATTGTCATTATTACAATGTCTATAAAATGAATCAGTTTTTCCGCATGACTCTTGCCAAATTATCTTTACACAAAAAAAAACTCCTCCTTTTCATTACAATTGAATTTCTTTCTTTCAGCATAATATGAACAGCATTTTTTTTTCCAACAGAAGCACTTTTCCAATATCAGAAATTATATATTTTGAGTATATTTTCTGTATCTACTTTTCTCTTACCTTTCTTTAATATTGTTTTAAATATTAAAAAACTACAACACGTTATTAATCCTTTTTTTTCAAATAGTTTACACATTTCTCTCTCTTTTATCCTTCCATTGTCAATGATTAATAAGAAAGGTTTTCTCTTCATCATCAATACATTTTCTCTTCATAAAATAGTAATGTTTTTCTTCATTTTGATTCTCTTTTTGTCCACTCTATAATCATATTATATGAGAAAGGGAGTAATAATAAGAGGGTGACTTGCACTTAGATAAAAAAACATGTCAATGTACAATAGAATGGGAGAAAATGTGTGCGCATTTTCTCTAATAAATCCTCCCCCACTCTCGGTGCTGCACTCACACAAATGCCGTCATTAGCACAGTAGAAAAAATGCCACAAAAGGGGGTGTTTTTTTCGTTTTTTAATAAATTAGCGAATGAATGATAATGTAAAAATAATTTTCCACTCCATCGTGTGTGCGCACCAAGTGAGAGTGAGAGTGAGGGAAAAGAACATGAACGAGTAATGTTAAGTTAATAAATTACAAATAAAAAATAGAAAACGACCGTGAAATCAACAAGAGATACACAAAAGAGGGGGGGAGGGAATAAGGACAGCGACGGGGATTAATGTTAATGCACCTTTTCTGCAATCGCGCGAGTAATTAGATGGGCGGCAGCGCCCACAGGGTGGCCGTCTTGTCGGCCGACGTGGACAAGAAGGAGAAGTCCGTGGGATGCCATCGCCCGGAAATCACCTTGTCCGTGTGCTGAGCCACAACCACCGACGGCAGAGGCATCGTCAGATCACCCTGCAGATCCGTCAGCACCAGCTTATTGTCATACCCGCCCGTGAGCAGATAATACGCTGACGGGGAGAATCGAATGGATCTGCAAAAGACAGCTCGTCAGACACAAAGAAAGGCATCAAATCTTACCAAATAAACTCACCTAATGTCCGCCGCGTGTGGCTTGAAACACTGAATCGGCCGATTTCCCCGGATGTCGTACAGCACACACGAACTATCCTCATGTCCAGACACCAAGAGACGCCCTGACGGATCCACACACACCGCCGCAACTGGTGATCCCTGCCTTGAGCCGGGAGCTGTAGCCGGTGTCACCATATTTACACATCCTCTCGTCCTCAGATCCCAGAATCTCACGGTTTTATCCTATCAAACACACGCCAATCAATACAAGAATCCATCAATCTTCCCAGAGAATTGCAAGAAGTTCAAATGTCGTGCCCAAAACTCTATTCCTCGATATATCAATCGATTTTTCTTCCAGCTTTTCATGGTTTTCAGTGTCATAGAAGACAAAAAACACCCGAAAATACCTATTTATCACCACTGAAAGCTTTTAAACACACGAATCTTTAATTTCTACTTAAATCTACTTTCTTTTTCCTCAATTTTTCTCATGAACAAAGGCTGGTCCGTATTTCTAATAGGATTTACGATAATTGCTATTGAAGAGCGACTTAATGCTGCAGAGATTTTAATTCTTGCGCTCCTTGTTTTCCCGGACCAGGAAGTAAATTCTGTGGTAGAGATTTTCACGTGGAAATTTTGTTATCAATTTCAACTCTTTGAGGTCATTTATCGCATTCAAAAGATAGCTAATATTCTCTAGTTGTTTCTTTTAGCGATCCGGATAGAATTTGAGGGTCAAATCCGCTGAATCTCTTCCTCTTCCTTCAGCAACTCACCTGCGATCCGGAGACAAACATAGCACCACCCCAATTGAACAGGGACAACACGTGACCTCCGTGGCCGCTGAGCGCCTGGAAGGGCGTGGAAGTGACGCAATCCGTGACGTAGATCTTGCAATCGCCCGCACCCGCGCTGATCAGCAAACTGGCCTTATTGGTGCTGTCCTCGATGAAGCACAGATCCCTCACGGTGCCATCGTGCATGGTCAGCTCCACTTCGCGCCCCTCCAGCTGCTGCTGCACCTCATTGTACCGCATCAGCTTCACAGTCTTGTCATTGGAGCCCGTGGCCACGAGGTCGCCCTGCGGCGACCACGCCATGCAGTAAATGGATCCCTTGTGGTGCTTCGTGCGCTTGAACAGGACCGTGGGCTGGTATGTTGTGTGCTCCTCCCTGGAATGCCACAACAGACGAAGAAAGTGAGAAACACGAACTCATGAAATTCAATTAACATTATTATTATAGAATTCTGTGCAAGAACTTAATTATTTGCATGAAATGCTTCGAGTTTTGTCACACTTCAGAATATTGCAATAGAAAAATTCATTGCTAAAAGTGTGAAGGCAGCGATTCTTGACTCTAAATGCATTTATCAAGTGTATCAAATCGAAGGATCTTGACATCTTTCATCGCTTCTGAAGATATTTTATTAGATTTATCGGCAAAAAATGAAAGCATTTTTCTTCCTGGTCATCTTATTAAAAGATATTTTGATTAAATTGAAGGTGAAATATTAGATCTACTGGATATTTTACTTAATTTATTTGCAAATAATTCAGAAAATCATACAAATTGATAGTTTTCTTGTGCCTTTTTAGTGATTTGGCATCAAAAATCAGTCAAATTGAAAATTAAAATTCAAATAAATGATAATTTTCAGTACAAAATCGCACCATTGCAATTAAAAATCTTATAAATTATGCATAAAATGTACAGGAAAAATGTGAAGATAATCAAAAATCGACTTTTTGTACTTAGATATTTCAGTTCGTCCATCAATTCTGCATATTTCCGCTAATATTTCAATAACTGATCAATGAAATCAACAAACAGTTAAATAAAATAATTGAAATTGACCAATATTATCAATTTAATAGACGATAAGAAAGAAAACAATTTGACTCCCTCTTAACTTAAGAGAACCCCCAAGAAAACTCACCGAATTTCCCCCAAAACTGGATACTCGCAGATGCGGAATGTCTTGGAATTGGATCCAACGGCGTAAACCTTGCCGTTGGGATGGAATTCTGCACATCGAACGGCCTGAACATCTTCAAGACTTGTGACAGCGACAAATTTGGGGCGAGCTTCGTTCACTTGAAGAGGCTGCAATGGAAAAAATACATTGTTTAGTACACAATTCACGTCTTTCTCTCTCTCTTAAATACAATTTAATTAAAAGTTGAATTGCTTCATTTGAATTTTCTTCCGCAATTTTTATTCTTTCATCACCTTTCAATCTTTCACTCAAATTAAACACCAAATCATTTTTATTACGAGAGCTGTTTCTTTTGTCTTAATTATGAAAATTTGAGATAATTTTACCATAATTCCAAATTGCTCTTTTTTTCCTTCTTCTTCTCTTTGCCTCTCTTATAACTAATTAACAATAAAACCACACAAAATCTTAGCTTCAGTGCTCAGTAAATTGGTCTGCAGGAAGTGCCAAAAACAAAAAATTTTACACAGCTTATCTTGAGTGATTTTCATCGACTGATTTACCTTCTGGAAAATCTACTCATTCACCAAACATTTTTCATGCACATTTTGCCACTACATTCGATATCTTTTAGGTAATTCTGTGAATTTGTTGTTTTTTTATGGTGAAAAACAATAAAACACGTGTAAATATAGATTCGTGACGTGGGTGAAAAATCAATGATCATATTCCCAATGTTTTGGCTATAAATTCGTCTTTTTGGCGTCAATGTCAGAAAAACACTTGACGAAAATGGACATTTCTCGTCAATTGATTCTCACTCAATTACCACACTTTTTTGTTGAAAAAGTCATTTCGTGGGCGGATATTTTATCCCTGAATTTCTGACCAATTCGTCGCTTTCTGCGTGTTCAAAAAAACCTCCATCAAAAACCCGCAAATTCTTGACCACTTGAGCGCGCCGCCAAACACAGTTCAACTAAACATTACAATTTATTTGAACAACATAATTACAACACTCTTCAGCCCATTTGTGTCCCTCCTCCAGCATGATTGCCCCACAACATGTGTTGTGTGACCGAAAAAAAGCCCCCAACAAGATGAGCCACTCATTTTTTCTCTGTTAGTTTGAGCAAAACAGCAAATCATTGATTGCTTGTGGAATTAATTTGGACAATTGCAGGCGAAGAGACAACAAAAAGCAACCACTGAAAATATGTTATTGAACCAAACTACACGAGACAAGGGGGAAATAACACAGTCGGAAGTGGTGTACAACTCATCAGAAGTACTTAAGAAGAGGAAGTGTGCAAAAACTCACAATATTCCTTTTCTGAGTGCTTCTTTTACTAACAAATCATCCCGATTCTGTGGATTTCATTTAATTTGTACAAAAATACAATCATTTTTTTAGGTTATGTAACGAATCACGGACGGATTTAGTGAATATTTTGAATTCTAGTCGTCAAAATCGCTAGTAATTGGCACAATTAAGTATTTTTATGGGATAAACATTTCTATTCTGCTCCTCTGATATCAAAAAACACTGCAAATTGTGTTGAAACCAAACATAACCTATAAAAGGGAATTATAGACTTAGAAAGTATTCATTTAGACCATTTTCTGCACGGTTTTGACTCTGAATCAGCGATTTTGAGTTTATTCGCAACTTATAAAAGACGATTTAATCATCTTGAAGGTCCAATTGCCTGTGGGGTTGGCATTTATGTCGCCAACTCCATCCGCTGCCCCACTTTTCTGCGTCCCCTATTCCTAAGGCACTAAGAAGAAGACTAATTAGCGCGCATCTTCGCGTCACTCACAGTGCTGCCTCTACCGTTAAATTCTAGCAGCGAGATTCTCTTCAGAGGGAGAAGGTCACCATGACAGTGACATTCCCACCACAACCAGGAATATCAATTGGACAGGGTTGGGTGTTTTGCCTGTTGGTATAGGGAATTCGATCTACAATCTAGACAGCTTCCAATTCTTCTAAGATCTTTAGTGATATTTTTGAGGTTATGATCAGAAAATACGCCGAAGAAAGTGGTTTTAAGTGGATTTTTACAGAAATATCGCATGGAACTCTGAGATATTTGTTATAATTTCTCAGTTATAACAAGAATTATGTTAAGAAGTGGTGTACAGATTACCAGGCATACTATCTCCCCCTTGACACGAGAGACACAACAATCCCAGTTAGACGTTCCACTTGAGAAGGTTGTAGTCTAGTTTTGCACTGTTCCATTTGCGAAATAAAAGATCAAATGAACTTCACTTAAGGAAGTGACAGATAGCTTTCTCCTTAAGAGTGACTGTCAATTACAGTGACTTGTGATTTAAATAACATCACTTAAAGACACTTTGCTCAACTCCGACGCTACAATACAACCATTTTCCATGCGCTTTTTCTCTTGTGATTTGTTTCGTCTTAATGTCGCCAAAGAGCACAATTCCCCAACGTTTCCAGCTTTTAATTAAGCCGAGAGTCGATTAAACTCGTTAACTGTGAAATATACTTTAAGATGTATCTTTTGCCTCAGAAGTTGCTTAACATATTTTCATATAAAATGTCATGGAGAGTTAATCCGTTTTATTGAAAAGTGTACAAATGACCAAGAAACTTATCACAAAATAGAATCTCATGAACACAATTCGATTAGTCTTAAGCCGCAGGTCAAACAGGTTCTAATTATCTCTATAAATAAATACCCATTATTATCGGTTCTCAAGCATTAGAAAAATTAGCATCTTGCAAAATCTCGTTCACCTGAAACTTGCGCGTAAAGTTCGTGTCGACTTGCAGGAGATTGTCCATGGATCTCCTCGTGTTCTTGCAGTTGTTCAGCTGCTCCGCCATCGACAGTGGCCTGATGCCATTCAGCTTGTCCTGCAGCCCATTGATGCCCTTCCCCATCAGATGGCCATTGTTGAGGTAGTTGTGCGCCTTGGCGCCGAACGCTGGTCCTCTCCAATCCACCACCACGTCGCGAATGTCCTCCATGGACTTTGAGCGATTGCAGGCGCAGCTGATGCGCTGATTGGGAAAGGTCTGCGCCGAGGTGCGACTCAGCCGGCGCACGCGTTCCCTCTCGCGATCGATCATGAGCAGTCCATTCTCCTTGTTGGCCCCTGGCGGCGGCGGCGGCGGCGGGGGCGCCTTGGGCCCGCCGCCGTTGCGCATGTACGACGGCGTGAGGAAGTATTGCTCTTTGGCCTGCGCCAGAGTGAATGGCGGCGCCGTGGAGATCTTATTGGGCAGCGGCTTCTGGAAGTTGGGGCTGTTGTTGTACTTTCCACTCCTGCTGTACAGATAGTAGTTTAGGGCGCTACCGTTGGACGAGGTGGTCGTCTTGGTGGACGCCGACGAACGGTATCCACTTGACTTGCTTGTCTTGTACATTGGGGGCCATGGCCGAAGCTGTCCATCCGAGTATCTCTTCTGCTGCGCCAACTGCAGAGGCGTCAGCGAGGCTCCGAAGTTGTATCCGCACTGGGATTTGAGCATAAATCCCTCAGGACCACCACTAACCATCTTCACACTGTCTCTCTTCACTCCACACAATCGTCAACTTAACTGTCTCCGCGACTGGACAAAATTAGCCAAAATTCCACATTGCAAATGAATAATTCATAGGCAAAGTGTCACTAATATTGCATTCCATTGTGAAGAAATTAACTGTATACACTAGATTCTTGTGGATTGGCGTCTTTTTGCTCTTCACCACACACACAAACACACAAACACTTCGCGTGAACTCCACTGAGAAATCCCACAGGCACAGAAAGTCACCAATGGGCAAAAACTGTATCTCTTTGAACAACAGTGAAGACACGAGATTTCTCGTTTCTTCTCCGCGCGATTCTGTTAGATTTCCTCGCGCTTCGCACAGCTGAGAAAATCAACGATCACACTTCACGCGTCCGAATGGCCTGAGACTCTCCATCCAACTGCGGCCAGAAACCAACCAAGAAAGTCTCTCTAATGCCTTCTGCACTCTCTTTCCACCACACACAATTCCAATCGCAATGGTAAAAGTCGCGCGCCAAGTAGGAGAAGCTCTCTTGGTGAGGTTGATGAAGAAATTTTTTTCTTCTTCTCCCAGTGCAAAAGAACGAGATGGTGAGACGAGAGAAAAAAAGAGAAAGAAGTGCAACAAGTTGGAAAGAAATTCAAAGTTACACTTCTTTTTCTCAATCACATTTCCCATCCAGCGCAATGGAATATAAATACAAACATATTGTAGAGGGCAAAAAGACTGAATCGGCGAGAGATTCTTCTTCACCATAAGTCTGTATTTCACAAGAAGACATGAGGAAAAATGATGAAAATCACCTGCTTCAAGTCACAAAACACCGTACAATTTTATTGTGTGATGCATTTTCTTTTCTAATCACACATGAAGTGCACTCATCGAGAGCCTCGAGACTTTGTCGAATGCCCGTTTAAGAAACTATTGCCAGCAAGCCAAATTAGCTAAAAAAGCAGTTGTTTCAACTAAAAAGTATTAAGATTACTGAGCTAAAATTTGAGCAGCACTCGAATAAAAAGTGCTGAGCCGAAGTATTGAAATGAAACTCAACAGTGTTAAAAATACATCAATTTACAGCACATTTTTAGGCTGACTTTACTGCTGTAATTTATCATCAATTTTCTTAGCAATCTTCCTAATTTTACTGCTTTTTTGCGCTAAATATTGTACTCAGTTTTGAGCTTTGTTCTGATAAAAAATTTAGCAGGAAAACAAAAAGTCCAACTTCCATGGACTTCTCTTCATCCGGTTTGTGATCTAAAAAGCCTAAAAGCTTGTAAATCTCTCAATTTTGAGGTTATTTTCATGGACGCTATTTATACAATTCACTTCAATGTTGTAATCATGAAGTATATTATTGAAATGGCATGGTTTTTGCACGGTTTTACATGATGCGACATCTATGCATTCAAGAGCGCATCAGTAGTTTGACTGATCGCCGCTACGTTCGCTAGTGCATCAACTAAATGGCTAAAATTTGAGCAGATAATAGCACAAAAATCAACAATTTCAAGCTCAACTTTTGAGACTTGGCATTTTGTGCTCGCTGGGATATTCTTCGGTCGTCAATTGAAGCGTACAATTTGTTGTAAAAGGAACACTTGTTGCAGCAAAAGCTTAGAAAGTCACACCCT